AGTTTTGCCTCCAGCTAGAATTGAACCATCAACCTTGTCTGTAGAAGGAGAAGTACCTAGACCACTAGGCTACGGAACCCCATCCCTCTTTTTTGTTTTTTTTTGTATATTACAGGTAATCTATTTTATATTTTAATAATTTATTCTATATTTATTTATATATTATATGACTTTATGATTTAATTAAACATTACAAACAATCTAGCTTTAGCATCTATATATGTTGTAATACTTAATTTTATTTGGTATTTTTTTTTTTTAAAAAAAAAAAACCGCAATTAAGCGTATTTATTTATTTTATTTGTTATTATATAATAAAATATTAAATAAATTCATATTTTATTATAAAAACATGCTATTAACAGTTTATTATAAAAAAAAAGCTTTGCAGGTTTTTCGTCATGACGGTTTTGCCTTTTTGAACAGCCAATCAGAATCGAGATTTTGTGTACGAACGCCAAAATCGAATTGAACCATCCACTTCGTTTCACTAAGTTCCTGGTATATTTTTCTTTTAAGTAAAAAATGGACCTTAACTAATTTTGAAAAAATTGTTAATTTGGTTCCTTTTTTCAGCGTTTAGCTCACTTATTCTTAAAGCTTGGAACTGGTTTTATTTTTCATGTCGAAACTGACTAAAACAGATTTTAATATGCATTCAACTCTTTCTATAACGAACTGAAAGTTCTGGAAGAAAAAAAAGTTCACTATAAAATTACTACATTTTGTTAAGGACCCATTGCACTTTCTACACCGAACTGTTATAAAAATTTAAAATTTTGAGTTCGTTATATCCAGAGTTCATTATATAGAGGTTCGTTATATTCAGAGTCGATTGTATTAAAAACATAACCAGCTCAAAACTCTTCCTTTAATTTTTAAACATTCCAAGAACCTAATTTTATTTAGTAAAATTTTTTTATTTCTATCAAAATTCTATTATAAACGATACAAAAAAATTACAAAACTGCTTTCTATGAAATAATAATAAAACCCTCTCAGTGTTTTTCACGAGGTGCATCGTTAAATTATTTTTGTTAAAAATAATAAGTTTAAAAAAAGGCGCACTACTAACATTTTAAATTATTTTGCAACAGATACGATATAGTAAAAATAAATTATTTATGATCTTCTAAATTTTTGTTGTTTTCTATATATTTGTTGTCTTCTATTTGATTGTTTGCTAGATAGATTATACTCATCATTTTGAATATTGTTTATTTCATTTTCTTGAACAATAACATGCATTTTCTAAGGTTAGAAATATATATAATTAGAAATATTTATTTAAATTTTTAATGCTGTAATATCAATATTAACTATAAGGAATTAAAATTTTACCTTTTCAACAAACTTGTAGGCATTATAAATATGAGAAATTAATAAATCAGTTGGAAATTTAGTTTATACAACATTTATGGAAACATAATCAGGCCAACATCCATGGAGCATATTGTCAACCAGATATATAGAAAGAGGATCGTTTTCTTTAATGATTTCATTATCAGTCATCAAGTATCTGAATATAAATCTTTTCAAAGCAGTTAAGAATGCTTTCGCAGGAATTTCAGTAGATTTTTCTGAAATTGGGTTTTCAAAATCTAGTGATTCTATAATAGCTTGCGTTATAGATTCTCTTAATTCAGCTTTATATTTTGAATCTATTTGATCTGCTATTATATCAGCAACATGTTCTTCAACTAATTCATATAGTGCTACAATATGTTTAAGCTGCAAGCCTGTTCTTGTCAATAATTCATAACTACTATAGTCTTTTCTTAACACACATGATTTTATCCATTTTTCTATATAATCGCTAATTAAGGTATTACGGTCTCCTCCAGATGTTTGTTTCAAAAAGCAAATAGTTATTTCTAAAGCTAAAAGTAATTCGTTTTTATTGTCCGTTAGTACTGGTTTACTATTAGCAGGTATTGGCTCTTGATGTATTAAATCTTTAATGTCTTCTAATATCGTCATAGACCTGCTAAATAATTCTTTAGAATACGCAAATGTATTCAAATACATTTGATTTTTATTAGCTTTTAATAATTTTTTTTCATACACCAATTCTAGTGCTAATTCAGCTTCAATCTTATATAGATCATATTGAATTTCTTGACCACAGCCTAGTCTAAGGTTATATTGACAATATGAAAAGATTTCACTAATATCATCATAAACAATTATTTGTTCTGATTTTATGTTTTCAAGATTAATAGATTGCAAGTGATACCTTGGTTTTTGATTATCTAATTTCTCAATAAATTTTAATGATTGACAAGTACCAGGAGAAATATCTACAACATCACTTAGAAAATTATTTTGCAATTGAACCAAGAATTCTATTATTGCACATAGATATAAATAATTATCTGTTGATTCATGCATATATAGCCCATAAATTATTGACAATTTACTATGTAATTTTGGTATTTTTTGCGACAAATCCTTACAACGATATCGTTTAACATGAGGAATTACGCAATTCCATGACTTTGCAAAGTTATTAAATGCTGCATTCAAAAACTTTCTTGTTTTTCCAGTATCATCACTTATACTTTCACCTTCTATAAATTGTTGAAAAGTTAAATTTTGTGCTTTTTGTCTCTCAATATTATAAGAAAGGCTTGAAAATAGTATTTGTGTAAATTTCATAATTGGTAAAAGGTGTCGGATAAGGTTCAGATGGGTTTCGTGCTTTAAAAATATGTTTAATAGTGGAAACAATTCTTTATTTTCAGTATTAGTATTATAATAAGATCTAAAATTGTCTAAATCGGGTTTTTTGATTAGTCTCCAAAGCAAAGGTAAATATTTTTCATTGTATTGATCATTAACATTCATAGTCTCGTTGATTTCAAGTGAATTATCTGTATTGTTATTTAATGCTTCCCGAAAATCATTGGCAGTTTTTATAAACTCTCTTATTTTTGGTAAAACATATCGCTGGTTAAAGTATCCTTCCCAAACTTCTCTTTGGGCTGGTGATGTAAACTTTTCAACATTTTTTTGTGATTCTTGTACCATATCTGAGAGTATCGAATGAATACCTAATGTCAAAGTTTCATCGTCGCAGTTAAAAATCTTTTTTAACACTTTCCAGTCAGTTTCAATGTGTTTCTTACAGTATTGAACAATATCGCAATCCTGATTTTTAATAAAGGCAATCGTGGTTGGTAAATGTGCTTGAACGCCAATAATTACGTGCAAGAACAGATGAAGGATTCTATAAGAGGCCGGATGTAAAGTTCTAACGGTATAATCAGTCTCAAATATGTCTTCAATTATATAACCTTGTATATCATTTACATTAATCGATTGTTTTATCTTATCTTTGTCTATAATGCTACTTCCTTCATTAAGATTATGATTCAAACCACCAATCGTGTTGTTACATTGATTGCATTTACCAATATCATCTGGGCGTCCACATTTATTAATAAAATAAGGATTTCCACATTTGCATCGATATCTATATTATTAAAAATAATTTAAGTAAGAGAGTTATCATTCATCACCAGCGCAATGCATCGCGACCCCTGATCGACCAATCAGAATCCAAGATCAGGTATAACAGGTATAACAGGTATAACGTGAAAATTACGATGAAACCACTTTCTTTTGATTTCACGTTACACCCGATCTTGAATTCTGATTGGTCGATCAGGTAGCGATGCATCACACTGGTTTAGTGAATTAAATAACTTACCTTCTAGTTCCCGAATCATTTGCTATTATGATATTTGTTATCGAAGCCAACTCATCCGATGGACATGTTAATATATAATTATCTTTATAATCATGTAGTGCTTGCATATATGCAGCTAAAGGAGATGAATTAACAGAACATGAAATATTCAATGCTACGACATGAACAACAATCGAGGAAATAAATACTTCAGTGTTTTTAGCATTTGGACTTAGTTTATATAATTGATGATCATTCGTCATAAAATTTAAAAGATACATTTTATAATGCTCTGGAAGTTGAGATGATTGTAGATATTTAAAAATCTTTTGTAATAAAATCTCTTCATTTGCATTCAATTCACGTGATGCTCTTATCAGATAAAATTTGTTCATTATCATCCCCGCCAATAAAATTTTCTGAGTTATCTCATTGTTTTCAATAAATAAATTAAATGTATCATTTACTGATGATTCATCACTATAAGAAATTGTCTTAAATAAAAGATCAACTTGTTTAAATTGTTCATTATACCAGAAAGGGTTAAATCCAAGGCGATTATCACAGTCTACTTTTAAAATTCTAGTCCATGGTAAATTTTGTTGTTGCATATCACAAAATTTCTTGATTTCATAAGTAGTTAATCCTTTCAAATATAAAGACTTAAGCAAATATATTGTGAATGAATAAATCAAAGGATGATCTATTTTTAGGCGTTTGTTTAAAGCATCAATTTTATCAATTGATAGTTTGTATTCGGTATGTTTGTATTCAGTATGTTTAGTTAAATTTTCAATAAAATTTGTATGACCCCAAAATTCATTTGCAAATACTTTCAAAATGGCAATTGCAGTAATTTTCTGTAATTTTTTGGAATTACTAATTAAAATATCTGTTGCTTTTAGAAAATAACTAGACAATTTATCAAATTGATATATTGTAGAAAGTTGTGTCTGAATAACATCACAACATAATGCTGACATTTCTGAACATTTTTGATTAGCTAAGATGTTTTCAATAATTTGTAGTCGTTTTGTGCCTTCCACTGTTTTTGGATTACTAATAAGATTAAAGAATAGTAATCCATTTTGCTCTTCATTTTCAGCTTCAAAAATCAAGTAAATAGTGTGAAAGCTAAATGGTAAAGGTTTCTGGGAAAATATTTTGTATAAAGATGAGAACGGACTGGTGTTTTAAGAGGAATTGTATTTAAACACCTAAAAGTAAAAGATTGTCTTGAAAACAAATTAATTTTTGTCCTATCCAATTTATCAAAGATTCTGAAAATAATGTCAATGGATTGTTTTGAAAATAGATCAGTTCCACATTGTTTAATTTGAAGTAGTTGTGCTAATGGAATTGATTTAGACAAGTCGTTATATCCTCGAAGTATATTTAATGATGAATTATTTAATGAATTTGGTAAATTGCAAGCAATTGACAAAATATTTGCAACACAACATTGCCAATATTGAAGCTTGCTTTGTATGTGCGTCAGGTTATTCTGATCATAATAACTAGAATATTTTTTATTATTTTCCGCTTTATGAACATTTTCTTCACCTATATCATAAAAATTATCACCCTCTATATTGATATTATTGTCAATGATATCACAAAATTTATTAATCATAATATCTGACTGTCGTTTTAACAAATAATCATCAAAATCAAATTCTTCATTGTTATCAAAATTTGTATTAAGTATTTCTTTTTCAATAATTGGAAATAATAAAACTAATTGCAATTTAGTTAATATTAAATCTTCATAGTCCCACCAAAATACATGAAGCCTTATAGGATCTGGTACTTCTTGTCTCATATGATGAGACATAATTCGACATAATATTTTGCTGTTATTAGTCTTTCCATGTGAAACAATAGCTACAAAGTCATTAAAATATAAATTTTGAAATTTATATCGTGGTAATTTTAATACAGGAACTATAGACATAATATGGTCAGAAAACCTTTCAATACAGTTATCAATAATATGTAATTTTAGATCACCATTTTCTTCAAGATTGTCTGGAATTCCTTCTAGCATCATTAAATCATCCTGATATATACTTTTAAATTTGTTAATCTGTTCCATAAAATATCGTGAAAATGGAAGTTTCAAACCATGAACACAGTCTGTTATTTTATAAGGTATTTTTATATTTTCAATGTTAATGATCTTAGTATTCATAAGTATCGGTTCCCAGAAGGCGAATATGATACTATTATTTTCATTATTACTCTGATTATTACTATTTTCTTTATTGAGCAAATTATCACTATCAAGAATTAAAAATCCTGATAACTTTTCTAAAGCAATTAAAAGTTGAGCTACAAGCATTCTGACTTGATGACGAATATATATTTGTAAAGCAATTGAGAATGAAGAATACAAATATAAATCCTTTTTATTCACAGCAACTTCTAACTGCCAATTTTTAAACTGATCATCGTGTAGCAATTCAAAGGTTCTTGTTTTCATCCAATTCATAAATTCCTTATGACACAGAATTTTTTGAACGAGTGATCTACCCAACAATAAGGTAAGAAAATTATAGATTAAAAATAGAAGTAAAGCCCGGCCTAGTCCAACTTTTTAGCAATATAATATTACGATATGCAAAAAAAAAACTTACTGGATATATTTGGCTGATTCATATGATGGTGGAAATTCTATGCAAAGCAAGCACCATAACAACTCATGCTCAATGACTTTCTCAAAAGTATATGCAGTTTTCAAAACGGTTATCAAATCTTTATCTAAATATGCTTGGAGAGGATACTCTTGAAGAACTAAAGTCTCTATAGTAAATAGATCCCATCCACACATAAAATCAAATGATGATATTGTAGAAGATACATTTTCTTTTCTCAAATGAAGAATTATACAAACATGTTTAACTTGATTGACTGAGTATTTACTTGCCATAAATTTATTCTTATACTGATCTATGATGAATTTTGCAAGTTTAATGCATTTTGAATTTGCTGCATCCAGATCACATTGTAAAATTAAAATCTCATCTTTAGATTCTAACCAGAAGTGCTTAACACGGGATTGTAATTGGGCTTCACTTTTAAATGTTGAAAGTTTGTCAATCTGACATTTTAAAATATTTTTTAAACAAGATTTAATATCTGTGTTAACGTTTGAGAATGTATAAATAATCGAACTAAAACCTCGTGCTTTTTTAGAATTTATCAATGACCTAATATAACTAGGGAAATCTTCATGGTCTTGTTTAAAATAGAAATTATACCAGTAATCTATTTCTTCATTACTTAACATTGATTTCTTTGAACGTACAATTCCATCTGGCAAAGCTATACCTATCAACAATTCTTTACACTTATCCAAAATAGCCATTTCGCCTCTTAAGTTTTGATCTTTACTATTATAAATTACTAAACTTTGCAAAGTTTCCTCCTTATCGAATCCAACGAAAATATCATTTTCATTAAATTTTGATGCATTTTCTCCTTCCATATTTGTGAGTGTTGATATATGCTTCGACCACACTGTAAGTTTATTTAATATCTTTTTCATATCATCGTCTATTATATCACTTATAGTCATTCTCTGTTTTTCAAATCGATTTAATAATGGTGGATCTGAGTAATTTACTTTTTCTTCATTAAGAACTAATATACAACGAAACTTTTCATGAACAGTGACCAAAGGATTTGAATAAGCTCCTAATGCAACACGTGTACAAAATGTTTGATTTCCTTCTTTTCCTATGGTTATGTAATTTTGATTCCATAAGTCATAAAGACTTCCTTTTAATTTTTTAAAAGAATTTAAAACAAAATAAATGAAAAGAGTTATGTTAAAAATCGCATGAATTATATTACATGAATGATATTAAAAACAAAATAGACATTATTACCATATATTGTATCAAGATCCGTCAAAATTAATGATCTTCCTTCCTCCATGCACATCTATTAATAATAAATCTTTAGTATTCACTATAAATTTTAAGCTACGTATAGGGAACTATAAAAAATTGAACTAACCATAATAAGGCTTAAAATACTATATTGATAATCACCATCAAAATCATTAGGAAATTGGCTGCCATAAATAACAACAGGTTCCGAATCAAAATCAGCATCAAGTTTATTCCATTGTTTTAATTTATATGTCAAGATGTTTACGATTGAAGCACTTTTTCCAATGACCATTAAGTGACGTGCATTTTTATCTTTCAAATTGGCTTTAATAAGATCTTCTATTGAAAAGTTCTTGAGATCGTCTATAGATTCATGAAATTCTGTTACAACTTTTTGAAAATGAACTCTGTAAATTTCATTCATTTGATTAGTTCCTCCAAAATTCCTTGCTAATGCCATTTGTGCAGACTAAAAAAATTATTAGATCAACATATGTTTCACTACGAAAAGAATTCATGCATTAATATGAAAGGTTTTCATAATATTAACAAATACCTCTTCACGACTAAGGCTTTTGACCAAGAAATAATAATCTCGAAGTCCATGAAAGTTGTTAATAGGTTGAACATTTTTATATTCAAGATATGAATCGGCTAAAGCTTTAAATTGAGATTCCGTGCACCCTCCCAATAAAAGTTTTGTAGTGTCGATAAGATCATCGTTTTCAATGTTGGGTCTAAAATAATATATTTGAACCATTTTGAATTTTGAAATATGAATTCATAAATTAATGTATTTCATAAAAAAAAAGATTTCTACAAACCTCTGTACTAATAAAGCCCTGCTTGACTTAGAATTATCAAGTCTCCAATTACTTATTCCAATAACAGCAACTTCTGGAAGTTCTGCAGGATAATTTGGCTCAAGTAATGAATGCAAAACTTTTAACGGATTATGAGGACTTTTTTCAGCCAAGCCAACTAATTAAAAAAAAAAAAAGTTTTAAGTTACTTAGATGTCTTTACAAAAAAAAAAAAATTAGAAATAAAATATTTACTTTCATCAAGTAATACAACAGTGATTAACGGATCTTCTATTGAGTTTCCTTTTTGGTAGTTGTTTGCTTTATCAAACACTGTACTGATGCCTTCAGATGTCGAAGATGATGATCCTTGATGAGGAACTACATATACCTTCAAAAATACAAATAATTTTTAATTATTGAAGAGATGATTTAAAATATCATAACTTTACTAATTTAAATTTTGCTTACTTGAGGAAGAGTTCTAAAATATGGGTCATCAGAATCATTACCGCGGAGGCTTTGACTAACCAGACGAACAGCTAGAGATTTTGATGCACTATATTCATAACAATAAGAAAAGATCATGCCATTAATATAGTAATATAAATGACAAAATATTTTGGATCACTACCGACACAGAAATACGTGACATGTGTGACCTAATTATGTCATACTCTATCAATAGCCTTAATTTTAATGCTAGATATACTGTGAACAGTGTTAAATATATATTTAAAAAGTATGTTCTTATTTGAAAACATTTAAGCACATAAAATTCGTAAATTTATTATAATGACAATCTTTAAAGCTTCTCTGAGAACATTAAAATTTCTTTTGAGAACAAAAAAGTAAAATTATGTTCTCAAGAAACAATAAAATTTCTTTAAATATTTTCATCGACAGTAACGATGATTTTAATGCTGCATGCTGGCTATGTTTGTAAAAATTTCCTACAGGATATGTATCGGTATCAAATGATTAAATGATAACTCACCCCGGAGCACCAATTATAAACACCGGAATATGATTTAATATGCAAACAGTAATCGCTAATACATTCTCGAGGAGCGCAAAGTTTTCAGCAACCATATTCGGCTTCGTCATACGTCTCATAAAATCTTTTTGTTCTCCTCGAACAATCTCCGTGAAAGTTTTAGAATTCATTTCCACCCCAAGCTCCTCAAAAATTGTGCACATTCTTTCTTGGTATCGATTACGTAACTCTTGATCAAAGAACCGAACCTGGTAACAAAGATTTATTGCTAATATATAAGATTTTATAATATTATTTGGACCATCTTCAAAATAGGATTTTAGGTCATTTACTATATTATATACTATATCGGGAACAACTTTAAATCTGAAATCGGTTTGTTCTTCAGATATTTTTTCAGTTAATTTTTGACGTTCAGAAAGACTTTTGCAAAAAAACTTAAATATAATTATTGCTCTTTTTACGTCACGTAAGCTAACACTGTGTACTCCTTCATGTGTTCTTACAAATTCTTGGGATGCAAATAAAAGCTCTGTGAACAAAATTATTTGCTTAGGATCATTCTGATACCGTTTGACCATCATATTTATATAAATCTTTTCATTTGAAGGCTTTAAAACACCATAATCCCAAACATAGTCTAATATTTGATCAGGAAGCGGTCGTACTTGATAGACAAGACTATTCTTCTGTTCATATCTATCAAATGAAAGTCCTGCTTGTGTATCAGCTCTTTGCCGAAATCGGTAAGGATTGCAGGCTGCAAAAAGCCTAATATTTTTATGGATTTCTTTTCCTAAAGTTTGCGAAAGTATATATAATTCTATCACATTGTAATAACTATTTATATTAAAAGCTTGAGTGGGAAAAAGCGATACAAACCTAGGAGTAACCTATGAGCTATGAGATCTGCGAGAACACCGATATGATTGCATGTATTAATCTCATCAAAAAACAACCATAATTCACTTTTCTCTGCGACAACTTCTGCATCAGATAAAAATTTAAATATTCGTTCTTTAGTTACTCCAGCGTGCAAATTTAAAATTTGAAGTTCAACATCGACAACTGTTGAAAGGAATTGAATGAGACTTGTCTAAAGTAGTAAATATTAATAGAAAACTATATTAATTTCATGATAGTTCAAGTGTGGTACAAAAGAAAATTTGGTCACCTTGCCACATCCGGCTTCACCACAAATGACTACTGGTATATTTGCTCTTGATCTTAATAAAATTAAAGCCATCTTTAAAAGATTATCCATAGAAAGTGCATATGGTGCGTATTCACGTTTTTCGTGTGTTTTTCGTGCTAAATATTCCAGTTTCTTTAAGATATCTTCAGAAGGCATATTATCATAGTCATCTAAAGCGAAATTAGAATTTACAGGATAATGTTGACTCCTTAACAAATTTTCAACATTATTGGGAACCTTGCTTTTATCACGATAAAGCGCACTAATTGAATCAGGTGATTGTGATAAGAAAAACACCAGTAAGTGATTTGAATCTTCCCAATGTTTGATGCTCGTGATGCTTATGTCCCCGCCCTTCTCATTGGACAGGTTTTTGGATTGGTCTTTCTTGGAATTCACAGATCGAGTTGCAAAATCCATGGATACTCCTATTAACGTTTCTAATAATGTCTTTCGGATATTATTGTCTGCTGCCATCAATTTTAATGTTTCCACGCGAAAGAATACGCTAGATGACATTCGTTTTAATTGATCCGCAAGAACATTGACAAATATTTCGAGAAAACGATAATTCTCGATGTCTGGTGTAACTTTATCAAAGAAATATTTTTGTAATAGTTTCCGACAATTTGTCTCGGAAATCAGCTTTACTTCATCATCAAAGTCGATGTCAGTTGTATTAATTGTATTACGATCATATGCATCTAAATATCTCGTGACGATTTGAATAGGATTGTTCACATCTTGAGGAATAATTATATTGTTGATATTCCAAGTCAAATCCTCTCTTTTTAAATGTCCGATAATTGGAATTGAATTAAGTGATAAGTCTTGGTTCATGGTTGATTCTATTTCAATATATATTAATGCCGATGGGATGTTTAAGAAATTGGTTCTGTATCTCACGATTTTAAATGAAAGAAATTCGAATAGGAACATGTTTACATCGTAATGATTGTATATCAACATGATATTTAAATGCAAACTTTCGGTATTTCTTAATCTAATTTCTGATAACTTATTTACAAGCGCTCCAAATGTTATACCATCACTTATTAGAAATTTTCTAGGAATCAATCTTTGAATGGAGCTCTGCGCTTCAATCCACTTAGTCTTTCCTTGCCCGGATAACTTTGAAGAAACTACAAATACCTTAGGACACAGTTCTTTGTAAATATTCTGCATTGAACCCGCATCAATACCTTGAATTACATGTGTATGTTCGGGAAATTGATCGAGTATATGATGATGCATATTGTTTTCAAGACAGCAAATCAAGACTAGATAAAATTTCTTTTCTTGTTGACTTAAAGAACGTATGTTTGAAACCAATTGATATTGCAATTCAAAATCAAGAAATTCAACATTTGCAATGAAAAACAAATGGTCCCCATATCCATTCTTTGCAGCGAAAAAACATCGTTTTGTGAAAGTTAGAAGCTCTTCTTCTGTGGTAGAAGACTTACAAATTAGAACTTGCCACGCTTCTGGATAACATCTATTATGTAAATTACATAAAGACATAATAATATTAGGTACTTTAAGCTTATTATTACATTTTGCAATGAAAAGGCATCCTTGATTAATTGCAATCACTGCCTCACGATTAATACTGGCCGTCATTTTTCGTTGAGTAATAGGAATTTGACTGAATATTCCATGTAATATGGTTCCAATCTTGCGAAGTATAAGATGATAATTTTTAGGTGCAAGAGTTATTTTAATGTTATCAGAGTCAATGTTTGGCAATTTTGCTTTATCGTTTACATATCTCAAGAGCATCGAACATTTTTCTTTAATATTTGGTCGAGTATCATTGCATGAAAAATAATCATAGAAAGTCAAAATGTGTTGTGCTAAAAAAAAGGTTAAATAATAATGTTTTTGTTGTGCTTCATTAACAATTGCTTCCCAGTTTTGTAAATCATCAAGCAAAATTTTTAGCAAATTTTCCATATCTTTAGTAGAACGTGTAGATTTTTGAAAATCACGGTATTTAAAATGTCCAAGTTCTTTTAGTGATGAAGCAACATCAATTATTTCTTGCGCGAGATCAACTCTATCGACAAATTGATTCATGTGATCTAATGAGATATCGTTAGCTTCATTTTCATCATTGGAATTTTTCTCATTGGTGAATGCCTTTGTATTGGTAGGAGTTTTTGCGATAAATAAAGCATGACTACGCAAGTCTTGAAGGTTTTCAAAAGTATAATTTGCAATATCGCCTGGTGAATTTTCAGAAGGATATGATAATGTTGCCGTATATATATTTTCATTATCTTTCATTTGCTTAAAAGAAAATTCCCCCTTTGTCACTGAATAGAAGATCTTTTCTTTTGTTACCTCACCATGATTAGAAATGCTTCTGTGCATATTCTTTAATGCTTGGGCATTTGCATTACATAATCGCAATTTTGGTACAAGTGACGGATTCTTCTTTATAATGCCACATAGAATTTGCAAGAATTCTTGCACCGTTGATTGCGCATCATCACTCGCCATTCTTTTCTCTAATAAAGGTTCTAAGGTCTGTTTTATTTGAATAAATGTCTGGACTGTATTTTCTTGGATCAAGCGCTCATCTGAATGATCATCGACTCCATTGATTAAGTTTTTAAGATTATGTCCGACAAGTGACTTAAGAAAAATAACAAAATCTTTAGCAGAACAAATTTCCTCAATTACTAACCAAACTTCATCTGTCAACGATGACATTTGTTCAATTTTATTAAGTTGATCAAAAATTTCATGAAGCTGACAAAGTATTAATTCCTTATCTTTTAAATTATGTATAAATTCTTTGACCCAAAAAGTTTGATCACTCTGAATAATTTCCAAAGCTTCAACAACAGTTAAAAGTCGATCTAACCTTTCCAATGTTGGTGAGATAAAAACTAAAAGTTTTAGAGAGGTAATTAATCTTTGAATATTGTACGCATTATTAGGCTTATCAAAATAAGGGGTCACAAAATTAATTTCTTGATCAACGTGTTCCGCCTTGATATTTTTCCAAAATTCAGTTGCAATGCTGCATTTAATGTTTTCCCATTTACTGTATTCTTTGCATATATTCATATAATTCTCAACAGCCTCTTTAATAATTTTATCCATTACTTGTTCAACTGTCAATTTTGGCTTCAATGCAATTTGAAATACATTGTAGAAGGTTCGTGAGTCAACAAAATGATAATATTGATTCATAATTTCGATAGTCATAGAGTGCATTGACCAATGATTTTTGATGTATGATTCCTTAAGTGTGGCATCAGTTAATCTTTTTTCTAAATTGTCAAAATATTGTTTCACGTCTATAACTAATTGAGGAGAACAAAATTTTTCATAAAATTTTCGGAGACGTTCCAAAGTCGAATTGTAATTACAGCATTTATTATAACTTTCTTCCATAATTTCATCTGTAATGACATCAGATTTACTCGGATAATTTTCTATAGCGGAGTTAATATAATCCTTGAGAATTCTGTTATTGATGAAGTATTTAAAAATTTTTTGAAGAAGTCTTATTGTGATGGTACGATTTCTAATATTCATAGCTAGATGAATCACCGTTTCACACGTTTCCTTAAAATATGGATGAGAACGTAGTTTTTGTTTGCAACCTTTTGCTTTAAATATGGTCATCCAAAATTTTGCAAATTGAAATAACGAAAGTTGAAAAGATTCTAAATCAGAAAATCTAACACCTTTCACTTGTTGCAGGTGATCGAGTATAAAAAATAAAATTTCTTCGCAAGAGCTAAATGAATATTCTTGTTAATTTGAGACATAATTTGAAATTATTTTGCATAAATTTAAATGGCAAATATTGCTTATCACTTACTGATTTCGGATATTTAAACTTGTACTGCCACAAATTTGTATAATAATTTTCATGAGACGCTCATCGGGAACTTGAACTAGAGGTCCAATTTTGCCTTTAACCAAAGACGTAAAATGAGTTATTATATCTTCATGAAAATTGTCAATACGTGACATAATGGAGAACATAGAATCATCGGGCAATGACGTCACAATATCATGGTTCAATAATTTATTTAAAATTTCTCGACCATGTTTCGAAGTGGAATGCATCAATGAAAGATAACGGCAAACGTCATAGGCCGAACTTTTTTGTTTACAGATATTTATGAACCACTTGATCGATTCTTGCTCAAGTTCTTTTTTAATTGACAGGTAACCTGCTTGCAGGCCCTGATTGAGAATTTGTAAAGGAGTCTCTATATTTAATCCCAAAATAAACTTATAAATTTCAGGAAACAATTCCAATACGATTCTTTGATTTGATTCGGCAATTGCTTTGAGTACGCTTGCATATTCTCTATGTTGCCACCCAAAATTAGGTTCCTTAAGAAGTCTTTTAAGCGAGGATATATTCTCGTCATCCCAACACTGTTGTTTGCCTTTAACTAATTCCAAAAGCTTTGTACGAATTTTTTGCAGAAAATTATTATTCTCTAAGTCTTCGAAACTTTCCCGTAGACGTACGAGACATTCCGCGTCATATGACATTCTAATGATCTTATTCATCATTTTATTTAACGCAATTTGATTAGAACCCTTAAGATAATTAATGCTAGGCCTTATTTCTTTCAATAATTTTATGAACAGGTCAGGTCGTTGTTTGTAATCATATAATTCGATTGAATCAATAAATGAATATGATGCATCAAGCTTAGGTGTAAGTGCAAATATTGTAATCCAATCTAAAAAGCCATATTTAGAGTTATGTTGAATCAAAGCATTAAAGGCCTTCACGACCATGTTTTCTGCACCGGAAGGCAGACTAGAATAATCATCGATGTTTTTAAATTCCTTTATAACGGTAGAGGACGGAAATTTATTTGGAAGACTGGATTCATGCGACCAACCCTTTTGTTGATCCATGTAATGACCAAGGAGAACGCATAAAAATAAAACCTGCTCTTTTGTTTTACTCGTTGACAAAATCTGGTTTATGAAACCAATGATTCTTCTAAATTCTTCTCTGTGTGTATTTAAAATGTGCTGATAATTTATGATACCCAATCTTAAACTATCAGGTGATTTGATATTCTTGTAAATATAGTCAATAAAAGCATAATATTCGTTTGAATTTTTACTTTTTTTAAATTTTTCGCTATCTTTCCAAACGTCATAAATATAGTCACGATGTATCATTTGTCGATTCGATCTGTGTCCACTACCTTCGAAATTTAATGGGTCCAAAATCGCTGAAGGAATCCAAGATGATGAAACTAGACAATATTTGTATTCAATATCAGAGGTTGCTGAAATGTTCACAGGGTCAGACACCCAAAGAGTAGAATTTGGAACCTGCCGAAGTAACACTTTGGGTTTTTTCCAATCGCCTAAAGCATTGCAATTACCCAAAACTGCGGGCTTGTAAGAATTCGTATCAAATGGCAAGTGAACATGAAAAATAATGTTAATGTTGATATCTTTGTTATTACTCATATTTAAGATACGCTTCCTTGTTGAAGTAGAAAAGCAAAATTTATCGCAGTTTAAAACAAAGTTATTTTAGGATAAATTATTAACATGTGAAAATGCTTTTAAATGATATAGTCGTGCTTGAATTCAAGCGTTAGCATCTGCTTGAAGTTACACTTAACTAAAATTAAGCGCATCATTGTTTCCTGTTTTGGTAATATTATTTAAATCGCCGGAAAATTTTCCGTGAAGTTAGAATTTATTATATAGACCTTGTGCATAATTTATGTTCGCTGGCAGTTTACTATTCTAATAATAGAGCACCTATATCCATTAATCGCCGTCGATTCGTATACAGATGGCCTAGCGTTTCCACTGGATTGCCATAACCCAACCTGGGGCACTTTCCCACTCACGGGTGACCCGAGTGAGTTCAATGATTTGGCATAATTCGGGTATCTGCATTTAAACCAGGTTTTTCAACGTTTGAGTAAGATCTGTGAGAAATAGTGAATTTTGCCTTTGCAGCGTGACTTGAGTATATGACAAAATAAGTAATTTGAATAGGTCGTTAGAATTAATTAGGGTTCTGCAAGTGCCGGGCACATACTATTAAAAATGGTGCCCGGCCTGTGCCTGGCACTATGGTTTAATAGTGCCTGGCATTTGCAGCTCCCAACAAATTTCACGGCAGATTTTCAATTTTGATTGGCTAAGAGCGACGATCAAAACGTTTGACGGCACTTGAGTTTCTCAAAGGGAGTTAGAAATGAGTGTACTATATAGTTATTGTATTATACTAGTGCAAGTTCCTCATGTTTGAGTTAGGCTCCATGGTTGCAATAGCAATGCAAAACCCTAATGTTGTGATTAAGCTTTATGGCTTCTGCAAGGAATATACCAGGAACGGAGTGTATGGTTAAGTGCCAACTCAAGTGTTTCTGTGCAAATACATGCTTTTGATTGGGTATTTCCTTTTACATGTCTAGTTACGGACCTATAATCTGGTTTTTATATAGGACGTGGCTAAGTAATGCCATAAGTCTGCATAAGTATCAATATGTATAATTAGAAATTGCGTATGGGGCTTCGCCTATATCCGGATCGATTTTTCCTTAATTTACTACGTGGATCGATTTTTCCTAATACCAGGAACGGAGTTTGTACAACGTACAACATTTACCTGCAAGTTAGCGATGTTTACCAAATCTTGGATCTGATTGGATGGTCCATCCTTGTGACTTTGTGTAGCATCCCGAACAATGTTAAAAATATCGATATGTGCAACCGGTTTACCAGGAACGGATTTTGTACAACATACAACGTAGAGTGCCAGGGACGTTGTACGAAGTACATAGGGTATACCAGGAACGGAGTTTGTACAACGTGTAGCAGGAGGGACCGTCCCAAATAAGGAAACCCGTGTTACATAATGTTCCGACCTTGCATAATGTTCTTTAGCCAATG